CCTGTCGTCCCGGCGTCCCTCTACGTCGCGAATCTGGAAATTTTACTAGAGGAAAAATAGCAGGTTGGACCACTTCCATTTAATCCATTTTCCAAGGCTATTGATGGTGAGATGGCAGGAATGGAGCCCGTAGACCTTCCTCAAGGAGTCGACCGGTATGTTTGGTATCTATGTCACATAAATGCAAATCGAACTTTGAGAGGTCGAGCACATTTGGAGAATGACTGACGACTGCCTGCCCAACCTAATATCGCGACGGATCCTCAGGGCTAGGTGCGTCAATATCAGGCTGAAGTCGCACCTTGGAGACCACGCAAAAAGTCCCCATGTCTGAAATTTGACCACGATCGGTAGGTATGGCGAGCAAGCGGCATCTATGTCATGTTAAAACAAATCCAACGTCGATGGATTTGAAAAGTCAAGTTGGCTAACACTTGTTTTCGGTAATTCTTCGTCAGGCCAATACAATTACATGAAGGAGTGAAAATGTACAAAATTAACAGTGTTTATAGGTGTCTCAAGGGCAAGTAAGTCATTAACACTCATCTTCCCCGCGCCGCCCGCATGACGAGGTCGGCGGGTTTTGGTCCTTAGAGCTGGAGGAGGGGGGTAGGCGAGTCTTTGAGTGATGTTCTTGGATTGAGTGCATGGAGTACCCATCACTGTAATCAGGGATTTGAGCGGCATGTCGTCATCACGTGAGGTTGGCGTTGGCCACGGCAGGGAGAGCGCTTGTGTCAGGGTTTTCTGACAGCATAACACCGGATTCGCTAGCCGTATAGCCACCGCCTCGGCCGTTGCTAGTGTTAAAGGAACTCAATGGATTCCTCAAGTTTAACACCAGACTTGCGGAGGTACATGTGACGAGCAAATTCGATGGATTTATGAAATTTGGAGAATGGCTGACGACTACCTGCCCAACCTAACATCTTCGCAGATCCTCTAGGCAAGGCGCATTAGTATGACGTTGCAATGACACTTCGATGACTAAACGCAAAAGTCGCCATATTTGAAATGTGGCCAGGATCGTCAGGCAGTAACTTCGCAAGCCAACTGAGTACAGGAAGCAAAAGTGAAGTCAGAAGTACGCAGGATCTGGACGTGCCGTATCACTACTGTCAGTGTATGATCTCCTGTGAAAATAACCCACAATGCAGCATCACTTTGTAGTCTAGACTCGGCCCTTTGATACATGTCCGCAGCCGAGGCTTCCGGAACTCCTTCATGGCTCAGGTGAAAACCGTCAGTAGTTAAGATAAAATGCTGATGTGTCCTCATTGTGGTCACGCGTTTCAGTCATGTATTGGCCTCCCCTATCTCCGGGAAATATGGCGCATCATGACTGGAGTGGCAGTGACTGCATCTCTGGCTAACGCAACATCATTGGTTCAAATATAGCTTCTGTCCTCATAAAATACTGCGATTAAATCTACGACACATCCACTGAAGGGCTGTACTAACGTTAGATGACGACTCCTGACGTGCCAACTAAAACACCAAACTTCCCTACCGACTCGACAGTCCATTGGAACGTGAGGACAGTGCTGACGTACCACGATGGTTTTGCGCATTCATATAATATTAAATGCCTGATGCCCGAACTCACCACGACGGGTTGAAGATGGAAGCTAGTAAGTGGGACAACACAGTGGCAGTCTTCTACTTCGGCGTCTCGCAGGCTCCCGTGGTGGGAGGCGACTTCGCGATATGTTGACCCTCACGTCCTACTTAGTCCTCAATTGACTTGACTGACACGACAAGTTAGTAGTTGTGGTTCAGAAGGCTGCCAGCAGATGGGACAATCAGGCCCCCACAATGAAACGAGGGCCAGATCATGGTGGCATGCGTAGGTGAGAATGATATTACTGACAAAGACAAGGGAATCTGGAATGACCATTTCTGGCTTATTAGCCGTCGTCAGCCAGTCATACCCAACCCCGAAGTGTGGCACACCCGAGGCTCGAACTCGCGATCTGTTTGTTAGAAGTCCACGCCTCTACGCACGACGGCTAATAAGCCAGAAATGGCCATTCCAGTCTCTCTTGTCTTTGTCGGCAATGCCATTCTGCCTATATATCATGCGCCGCTGTACGGCTGCTGGTTGTTAGAATTTCACGCCTCTAACCACTGAGCCACGAGCCCGTTGCCCTGAACTGTTTAGGATCCTTCGCCGCCATATCCACATCCTGCCTTTGCCCTGCAATCGAAACAGGCTGATGTGTTAAAAAACTAAAGGGCGCTGCGGAACCATGAACAATTTCATGCAAAAGCACCACGGCGCCCAGTGGTGGTTCAGATCGCTTGAGATGAATGCACATTTGTGCGGATAAAACCTGACAGTTCGGGCGTCGTTACCGATGATGTCCACCGTGTGCTCCACAACAAGGCGATAGCACGTACAGTGAATAGCGGGTGAGTTAGTTTGTAGTGATGGCAGACTTTCGATGCATCTACCGCACTATCTCCTGTTTCCCCAATTGGACCCCGTGTCAAGACAGGGTTAAGTAGACTGGCGGTGGAAGAGGGCACGGGTGACTAGCGCGGCGTAGATCCGCATCTAGGCGTACCATCTGACCCCCCCCCGGCCCACAACGTACGACTGACCAGGATTGAACACAACAAGAAAGATAGCGGCCCAGATCCTACTAGGTTGAAGTGCCATAGGGGGCAAACTCAGATGTAACCATTGCAGCCTGACTCTCAGACCGCCAGCCAGTGGGCCGACTTCAAGGTCCGAGTCACCCCGTCAGTCGACAACCTTCAAAGGCACGGCTTTTGGCGCACCGGGATAGTTTTAAACGCCTCAGACCGTTTGTAGTGAGGAATGTGTGCTGAGACGGTCGACTTCACTTTTCCCCCCACTCCCAGACACTAGTCCACTGTCCGAGCCGGTCAAATGTCTGATGCCAGAAGTGGACGCAGAGGGCCCGTCCATAAAACATCTTAAGCGTTTAACGCACATCTTTTCAAACCGAAATTACCCCACAGCATTGGAGGCGTTCTTTGCTTACGGCGATAAAATTGGTCACCACTTGGATCGACAACGTACTATGACATCAAACATATCGGTCATATCATGCTCCGTCATACGACATATCATGCTTTCCAATGCATTGTCTATATTCTAAGGACCGATAAACAAACACGTATGAATTAGTTCAACTTTTATTCGAGTTAAAATAAAAGTGCCTATAATGAGAGTTGACTAGGTCTCGTAGACGTTTACATGCGTTAGACCTCTCAACGCCATGCGGCCGCAGGGTTGTTGAAAGGACGGGCAATGTATGCGTCCGACTTCTGGAATGCGTTGATTGGCTCCAAATCCTGAAAGCAAACCATAGTCTCATAAGCAACAGAAGGACGTTTGACTTTACAAGTACTCCTAATAAATTGTTCGCTTAGAAGCATGAATGAGACTTTAACAAAGCAGCATTCGGGTGTGAAAATAGGAGGGAGAGGAATCACAAAATATGCGTTTACGAAACAAGCACAAGACTCGTACGTTAATAGGGAATTCCGCTGCAATAGTTATTAAGAGATAACCGAAAATTCCGTGGACGTGGCGATCGAATTAACGCGTCGCTTCACCAAATACTTACCGTACACGCCCCGCAGATAGGCTGCGATGCACTGTTCCGCGGAAGTGCTCTATGCAATCACAGAACACACTGTATACCCGGATGTACGTTTTAGAGGAAGTGTACCCATTCGAAGAAGAATTACTGTTGTCACCTTCAAAAAAGGGCTGGAAAGAAAGACTCGACCGTTGTGAAAGCCACTGTTACTCATGAGAAAGTGTTATCGATTTCATATTATTGATTGTTCACTGTTAAGCGACGATCTAGATTAACTCTAGAATCCGATATATTTGAGTAAAACTGGTCTTCCCACCTTCGTAGTGAAATCGGGATGAATGTGTAATAGACACCCTAAAGGGATTGCTGTCAATACTAATACTACTACGGTCACAGTCGGCACCAAAAAATTCTCCCGCAACTACGATCCTTTCTATACAGAATCAATTGCCAATTTAAAGTGGGTCATATAGATCAAATCCGTCACTGCATGCAATTGAAAACAGCTCCAAATTATGATAAGGTTCCGACGCATTTTGAAACTGATAAATGAGAGCTAACGGGATTCACTTAAGAGATAAACAGTTGAATCACTTAGCAAACTGTAACACTGAGAGGGAAAATGCCTGAGGGCATATGAAAGTAAAAGGCGAGGCTTACCTCAAATCTGCCCATATAGTCCCCCAAATTTTGGAATTTATTTAGGCAAGTGGGCTCCAGCGATCTCAATGAATCCAAGAGTTCATACATGGTGAAGTCCGCATAATTGATCTGCATGTTGAGAAACAATAACATTCAGCGCGTGTGACAAGAAAAAAGCATCATCTGCAGGCCTGAAATGGGATTGTACGCGTGCATATTCTTCACAGAGCCTCCGACGTCGTGAATCATGTGTATTTTTAATAAGGTCGCGTTTCCGTTTAAGTCAACGTAGTCGTCCTCTAACACGTAGGTCTTTGTCTTTGCGAAACTTCGATCGAAGTTTTGGAGAGGACGCGTCATGAGCTCTTGTTACGACTAACATGGTGACAAAAAGCTACAGCTACAACCTTTCAAAATCTTGCCAACATGCCTAGGATGGGTCAAGTACTGCCGAAAGCGGATAGACTGGAATCGGTAAGTTAAGTCGCGTTTGTCAGAAAGCTGTGAGAGGTTGCTAAATAATTATACATCTTGAAGATGCAGGCCAGCAACATAATCGGCGCAAGCAGTTGGACAAAGACAAAATGGACTGCAAACAACGGAGTCATGCTCGCTCTTCAAAATTTACAACGTTATGTTGTAATAGTCTACATTTGTAAAACAATGGTTGCTTTGCAAACAAATCGCACTCTAATTTAAGCTAATATTGACCCTCATATGCGCATTATAAGATAAGAAGTTGGAAAGACATTGCAGATGGAAGGTGGCGAGATCATAAAAATGTTAGGTGGATTGAGCAATTACCACTTCGCCGGTAAGCCAGGGTTTTTCGCTCAGATAATTGGACCACAATTGTAGCTTTGCAGGCAAACCGTCCAGAAATCCTTGCTTGAGGTTCTCCTGTTAGAAACAAAATAGTTTGGCGATACGCTTGATTGGAAGAAGGGACCGGGCGGACGAAATGAAGTCTTAGACATAGCCGTACAACGAAATACGACGGACTTACGAAGTCTGGGTTATAGACAAGAAGACGAAGACTGGCTCTAAGATCCGACAATTCCGCTTGCAGCATGTGCAGAATAGCACGTTCTTTTGCAGACGTTGGAACTGAAATTCAAAATGCCTTGTGGAGAGTCAAAAACGTCAACATCTAAGGTGAAGCCACGGATTTGTAAACGATCCAAAGCAATGGATGCGGCGAGGAACAGGAAATAAGAAACTTACGCATTTTATGCCTGTCGGCCACATATTCCAAGATGGCACCTGAATGAGTGATCCGGAATTCACCATCGATCAAGTATGGCAGCAACGTAAATGTGTTGTACGCAAGGTCGACTTACATTAGGGAAGTCAAGGTCCTTGTCGAATTTACATTTAGACCACACTTCTTTGGAGAAATTGGGGGCTGGAAGATAGAATTAAGACTACAAAACATATTACGTCCACCAGCTTCATACAATTCCTCAATATACTCTTCACCGCAATAGTGGAGGAGGAGGCGGATTGGCTGTGCCAACTAAAAAGGGAAGCAAAATGTGGTTGCCCCTCATCACCTCAAAACCAAGTATTATACTGAACACTGACTAATGGCAGCTGTGTCACGCAGCGGCAAAATATTGGCGAAACACGCGTCTGGTCTTTTAGTATGTATCTATGCCGGAAGCACTGTGTAATATCTTTATCATATATATATATGGTTTCTTGGATGGCTTGAGATATCCGCACGATGCTGTCGCAGCAAGGCCGGTGTACTCAAGTCAACTGATGGTACTCAGACAGTAGTGGTCGAACACTCCTAGTTTCTTTTCTACTTCGACGTGCAAAACCCAGCATTCACAGTCGTAGAGGTCTGAAAGGATGGATTCTCAGTACATACATTTCTGTGTGGCGATGCAAATGTCGCGTCGGGTCCATGAACAATGTAAAGACTGTGATAATTTTGCGTGCAGCATCTTTTCAGGAGGGATGTCACTAGGATTATAAGAGCTCATAAAACTGCGTGCATGAGGTGTGCCGGTGGTTCACTGGATTGTTGTTCAAACCCCAGGACAGCGATGATGGGATGAGTTGCTATAGGGGGGCCTCAAGGTAGCACGCCATAATGATAATTTCGAACTTCATGATACGTCAGAAACGGGTACCCACTGATGTCATGGTTGGCAACCTCCGACAGAAGTCCTGCTACCTACTATACGATGGTATCGGACAATCCGTAGCGTACAACGGTGCCCGCCCTTCCCTGATTACCAATATGCTCAGTCCAACGACGGCATCCTTAAGATGTTAACTTGAATCCTTATAAGGATTCAAGTTAACATCTGTTATAGTCATCATAGTAGGCAATCCGAAGTCATCTTAAAAAGCTTACAATAAATCTCATCCCAAGGCGAGGGTCTGATCATAAAAATCAGAACTAAGATCAAGTCTTCACTGTTTCAACGTTTTTCCAAGTCCAAAAATAGAGTATGTAAACAAACGGCAAACTTTAGATAAAAGTCTAGCAAAAATCGAAACGTATGTTTCGATTTTTGCCTAGACTTCTCTAACACGTGTTAGCTAACACGTTAAGTGGCATCACTAAATGAAACGGAGATACCAGAGAAAGTCAATAAGACATGCGCCGTGTCTGGTACCTGACACCAGAGACCTGTCTCTGTTTTTCACCTGCAGTTTTTTGGAAACATCGAGGAAAAACAAGTCGGAAGCGAGGTCTTCCGATAATCTGTTGTAAGAATGGGGAAAACTCGGTTTCTATTTGCTAGAATGGTGCTATTTGAGGATTTTGATGATGCATTCATAATATCAACTACTGATGAGTACGGAAAAAAATTAACTAAGAAATATTTAAAGAGAACAATTATCACAGATAAGTTTCATAAAATTACCCCGCGGATATTCCAATAACCGAGAACGGGAGGTTGCGACATGTCTCGCAGAGAACTGGAATTACGTGAACAGCTACCGCGTCAGCGAAACTACCAAGCATTTAAATACGTGTAGCTGGTGTTCTGACCTTGATGTTGTTTTGATCGATGGAACGGATGGTCTCACCTCCGTTGAAGGGTGATGGGACATTTTACTCCGATGTATTGATGACGGGCACCGTGTACACCCTCCATGGTCACTCCCAACTTCACCTCGTATATGAGACCAGCAAAAGTTTAATGAATCTCACTTCTATGGAAAAGTATCTTTGCAAGGCCCTGTCTATTAATTCTCACTAGCCCTCTCTGAAATATCCTTTTCTTACATGAGAGTGTTGATTATGGGTTAATCAAAAGATTTAATCCGGGCATGTTTGCTTTTCAGACGTCATTGTGACAAGCAAACATGGAGTATCCATTTATGAGGCTATTATCGCCTAAATCTGAACTAGTCTATGTCTTGGCCGTTTCTATTTTCTGAAAAAGCACAAAATTATGACAATAATAACAGATTTATGGAATAATCTTGCCCTTACTCCACATAGAAATTTAGTAATGGTATCCTCAAGCGAATCTTGGGACGAATAGGCAAGCAGGTAGTATTGGCGATAATCGTTCATAACTGGACTTTGACAGTTGGAGTCGTCAATGAAATGAGATGTTTACATAAAAAAGAGAAATAAATGAAAAATGCGCGTTTTTTAACACACCCCACACATGGAAATAATGTTGGGTGGGACAGTACCGCCATTTGCTGAGGACTAATGAGGACTTATAGCATTCCTCTCCATAGAGAAATTAATGAACCAGAGAAGGCGTATTGCGCACCAAAGCCAGGTTGATGTAAGCATTATATTAATTGGCCAACGGAAGAAACAATCGGCAATGTGGAGAAAGAGAAGGCTACACGGAGATCTCAATAGTTTGCTTGTGGTCAAACAGAGGAAGTACGTTAGGGGACGGCAATATACCCCCTGCAGAGGACAGGAGACATTTAATAGCCATGGCGAGAGCGCGAGAAATGGCCCTAGCCCGATTCTGCAGTCTACCAAAAGTACACAAAGAGGGTGCTCCTCTCCGGCCTATCGTATCACTAAGTGCACTACAACCTATGGACTGGCAAAGTGCTTGGTTCGACGTCTCAACTTTCTGACGTCCGATTCGAACACCACAGTCCGCTCGTCAACGCAATTCTTGGATAAACTTAAAGGAGTAAGTCTCCTGCCAAGCGAGGTCATGGTTTCCTTTGATGCCACGTCGTTTTTTTACTTCTATCCCACAGGACCTGGTAGTCGAGACCATCGATCTGCTCCTACGAGAGAAATACGATGAAACGTAGAATCACCCCGGACACGCCCGAATCATCCGGCTCCTGAAGTTCTGTCTCAAGACGTACTTTACGTTCGGCAGAAGGGGAAGCCAATAGGCTCGCCGATTTCGAAACTCATAGCTGAGGCTGTCCTACAACGGTTGAAGTCGCAGCTTTTCCCACACCACAGACCAAACTTCTGGGCTCTGTATGCCGATGATACCTTCGTCGTCATCGGACGGGATCAGGTGCTGACATTCGAAGAACATTTCAGCGCCGTCTTTTCGGACATTCAATTTACGATGGAAAAGGAAGAAAACAACCAGCTGGCCTTCCTGGATGTCGTCGTCTGCTGCAAAGATTGTGATGGCCTAAAAACCAAAGTGGTCAGAAAAACGGCAAATACGAGTCAATTGAGGTTAAGGACAATCCGCTTGTTAGCTTTTGCAACTTAAGTCCGTTGACGGGAATAGTCATCGGCCTAATATGTTTAATCAGACAAAAAGGTGCATCTATCTGATCTGGAAAAATTGGAAATTTAATGCCGCAGTAAAAAACGGAATCGGTCCCGCATGCGCTTTGACCAATAAGAACTAAGGAGCATTTGCATTAGTAGTAATAAGTGCATAACTACCGTATTCGTAATGCCAATAGGTTTTGTACAGCGTGGGCTTAGCATATTACAGTATGCTCTAGCATAGTCCGAAATCTTGTATGTAGTTTTCGGTACTTATGAATGAAGTACATCAGTATCGACGATGTCTCGCAGGTACGTAAAAGATGGGGCGAAATTCGGTAACAGTGGAATACTGCCTTCAACTTGCCAATCTAAAAAGAAGGGTTTGGGCTTGAGACGGAAATTTATTGGACTATGAACTTAGCATTATCTTTCAAGGCCATGGAACGAAATATAAAACGGCAGTTTATGACTTGCCTGAAACATGAGGACCTTTTCTGTGCTGCTCAACATGCCTGTTCATACAAGTGTTACAAGTGTACGTTGCCGGCATGAAAGTTGACGAAACCTTCAATCTAGGCTTCCGTGTGAGCATATATTTCTTCGTCTGTAAGCAAACGCTTAGAAATGTACCTCATCGACACTTTCTGCGAAAGATATGGAAATATGTAATTTAAGGCATCAGTTTCAATTGCATGGAAGGTAACTTATAGTCCAATCAGCCAATCATTACTGCCTGCAGTGCGGCGTAGGAATAGGTAGGTGTCCCACATAGGTCTACACAAGGTTCTCTTCTCTTCGTCAAATGCAAATGTAGCTGCACAGAGGGTCTTACTTGAGAGACTGTGATCCTCATCTATATAACAAAATCTGAAAAGAAATTCCGTGAGTTGATGATGTGAATCGACCATAAGAAAATGCTGATATACTGACTGTCGGATCAGCTTTGCGGTCCTGACATTTACTGTGGGCAAATGTTTATTTAAGTGTCTCGAAGCTGGCCCAAACTACTCCCTAATACAATAGTATTTTCGCATCGCAATTCGCTTAAAGTGGGTGATTACAGAGTAGAATTTCGGTTTTTAGAGCACTGGAAGTCTGGTCCGATCACGATATTGTAGAATGATTAAAGGACAGCTGACACCATTTACCACATGAAACTTGTTTTTATCTCCTTTACCCAGAAAAATTCCAGCGGATATTTGGTGAGAATGTTGATCTTTTTTGAGTGTGCAATGGCATCCCTTATTTCCTAGATAAAGATACAAATAATCAATTGAGCTTGTGGAATGATGTGTCAAAGAGGAGAATTGTTTTCAGGAATTTGTCGTGCCTAAATAGACGGATCAATGTCAGATGACCAGTTGAAATAAAAATGACAATTGACAGTTTGCGCAATCGTGGACACGAGTGTTTGCTTAGCTATAAAAACATCTACACATCCACTCATACTAGGGTAAACCCGAATGCGCGCGTGCGAATTACCAGAAGTTGCTCATAAATCAGTAAATTGTGCAATTTTGGAATGTACTAAAGCA